AGCGGATTGGGCAGGCCAGTCGGGCGTCCAGCCTTGGGTGCGACCGTAGTTGTAGCTTCCTGGCCCCTTGGGCACCTTATCTCTCTATTTGCGACTTGCGCGTTAATTATTCAATCGGCCTACGACAAGTAACACAGATATTTGTGCACTATGTACTCCCAAAATACGACAAAGGATCTAATTGATAAAGGTGATCTTGAAGTTCCCACGCTACACACGTTTTGGCACAAGCTAGGAAAACCTTCTTTGACACACAGAGTGATTGCTAACTCCTGAACTTTGTGGGAAGATGAATGTTGCCTTTTCAAACACAACCACTTACCTGAAATTCAAACTGTTCTGGGAAGAACTTTTCATACATGGCCAGATCATCTCTTGTTTTGACTTGTTTGGTCTGATTAGAGGAGTTCACCTCTGGTTTTTTACCCTTGTTACCACTTTCAAGCCCTTCTTTATCATCTTGACTTGCACTACTACTACTCTCATCTTCTTCTTCCTCTGATTCAACATCAGTAGACTCACCTATATATGGAGCAGACCATTTGATTACAAGTTGATAACATTTGTGTATTGATAGGACTAAGCCCAACTGCTCATAAGGGACTGAATTACAGGTAACAGCATTTAAATAAATCAGGGCTCGACACTAACGATAGCCAACTAGCCACAGACTAGTAGAAATTCAGTTTTGGCTAGTGATTTTCAATTTCCACCAGCCATTTTGGCTGTAACATCTAAGCTGCCACTAGCCACTTGGCTTGTAAGTTGAAAAGTTAGTGTCGAGCCCTGGCTAGTTAATGTTTGCCTCCCTAGTGTAAGTGCAGTGGCGATTTCGAGTCGAAGAAGAAAGACATTCTTAATAAACCGCGAAACATGTCAAACACTTCAAAGGAACTGAAGGGGGCACAGGACAACCAACCTTTCTAATTTTCAAAGAGAATTGTCTGTCACAGCCATTACAGACCGTAACATCACTATCACTTTCCCATCGTCTCGCGTTCTTTTGATTAGTTGTTATCTGTGGACATCAGTAAGTAAGTATTAATAATTCATTTGACTTCATTAAGTTCAGGCAAAGATTTTCTGTCATTTGACTAAATATCTTCGTGACCAATCACAAAAGCAGAAATAATTTGTCAACCAATCATTGATGAGCAAAACCACTCTTACTGCCGACTTGGTCACAGCCTGCAGAGTAGGTTTAATTTTGGCGAGCAAGTGCCCAGTAATTTTTCGGTGAAAATTATAGATGCAATCTTTGATCTGCACCAAGGATGCGAGCACCTTTCCCCACCCCCTCCCCCCACCGTCCTCTCCTACTCTAAATCAAACGTGGCCAGACAAACGATCGTATTCAAATGTGTTACACTCTAAGACCCCGTACCTGTAAAGACTGATTCTCTTGTGTTAATTCCATCATGGCTGCCTGTGCATTTTCAACTTTTTTGTTCAGCTCTCCAATTTCCTTTTTAAGTTTTTCTATCGTTTCATCACTAGCCACACATCTGGAAAAAAAAAAAAAGCCGATGAGTACGCATATTTTCCATACTGTTCTCTACACATTTCCTATGTTACTAAAAAGGAGAATTTGTATAATAATCAAGAGGTGATCATTTCCTTAATTGTCATGACCTTAGGGATGATATTGTCGGGAGAAATTAGATGTTGGTCACTCTTAGAGGACAAGGGATTAACGACGATATTCTTTTGAAACGGAATCAAATCCATCTGTCAAGAATCTTTTAAGGGTTTCGTTGACTTTGTCGCGCAACAATGATTCGTTGCGTGACGCCTTCTTGATAGTTAGTAACGTTAACTGTCTCAGTTTTGCCGGTGGCTAAAATACATACCTTTCAAGTAATTTTCTTCTTTCGTCTAAGTTATTTTGAACAGTTGCTTCCAACACTTATCATAAAAATGAAACAAAGAAAAAAAATGGTTTGTTCTCAAATATTTCAACGTTTAGTAGAAGGCATTAAAATTGATCCGAGGTAAAGTTTTTTTTTTAATAACGGGATACTTTATTTACCGGCTATTTCTCCCTTTAAATCATCATTTCGTTTTTCAGCATCTACAAGTTTCTCCCCAGCTTCTCTCGTCTCCTGTTGAAATTTCTCGGCCTCAGTCCTAGCAGCCGCCAGGTTCTCATTCAGTGAAGATATCTGGATGTTAAGCCTCGTTTCAGTTTGTTCTTTTGACTTTTTAAGTTCTTCAAGTTCTTGCGTTTCGTTTGCCTGGAGACAGAATACGGATATAAGAAAGAGAAAGACGAAAAACGTAGTAACAAATAAAAAAAGAGGCAAAAGATAAGAAATTAGACAACAATCAAATGAACACACGAATGAACCGATTAAGACTGGAAGCAAGTTAGTTTCAACCTATTTGGCCACTACCTTTGTTTTTAAAAATGACTGAGGGGGGGGGGAGAAGAGGGGCATTATGGCTTTAAAAAAGTGCTAAGTAGGTCACCCGTAAGGTGGAGTGGTGGGGGAGGGGAGGGGGACCAGAGTACTGGAAAGCAATGAGACACCTAGGCAAGTGAGGGACACTCACAGCAGAAGCTACACACAGCAAATAAGAAATCGTTTTTCGGTAGAATCTATTTTTACCCCTTTTTAAGCATTAGAAAAGAAAAAAATATCCAAAACAAGGGAAAAAAAAAAGGGAAAATGTTCACCAGTTTAGTCTGAACAGCGGCCGTCTCCTCTTTCAATAGCAACTGAACTCGTTTGGAGACTTCTTTCGTTTCTTCGTGCTCTTCGATTGCCTGGAAACAGTTGAAGAAATTCTGTCAGAATTCGCCAGGTAGGTTACTTTTTAGTCTTACTGCTCTTTAGAATGGCAACACTCAAAAGCAAAACCATAAGTAACATACCCTCTGGAGGAAATTTGTATGCTAACCTATGAGGGGGAGGGTGGGGGACTGGGCGGAGAGGAGGTTTCTACAAATGCAAATATTCTTAAGAGGGAATTATTAGAAATGCAGAGAAAAAGGGAATTATTAGAAATGCAGAGAAAGAGGGAATTATTAGAAATGCAGAGAAAAAGGGAATTATTAGAAATGCAGAGAAAAAGGGAATTATTAGAAATGCAGAGAAAAAGGGAATTATTATAAATGTAGAGAAAAAGGGAATTATTAGAAATGCAGAGAAAAAGGGAATTATTAGAAATGCAGAGAAAAAGGTTAAGATAATTAGACGTTCATGCCAAGGCTGTTTAGGTTGATACAACATCTCATTCTCTTTAATTATCTCCTCGAGGGGACTGAGACATAGTCAAACTCTCCCCATTAGCACTGAAAGGAATACAGATACCAAATAGAGATACTTTTTGTTACCATTAGAGATAAACGGGTTGAAAAACAACTGCTCCTAAGACAAATATATGGACGTCCGAAGATTTCACTTTGTTACCTTCTTTAGGTCTTTTTCTGTGTTGGCCAGCTTGTTTTCGAGCTCCAGTTTCTGTTTAATTAAGAGTTGTTGCTTTTCCTGAGCCTCTCGCAGAGCCTATAAATCACAACAAACCATTCTTTGAAAAAAGAAGAAGTTGACAATACCTAAACAATGAGTTCATGACATAACGCTTGCCATGTACGGGAAGTTGTACTCTTTCTTACCTGCTCCTTGGCGTCTTGTTCAGCTGCAACATTCTTCTCCAATTCCGCTATTTTCGTTTGCAAGGAAATTCTAGAGACAACATATATTTGCAAGTTTTTAGAAGGTCTTTTACACGATACAACTGGCAGTAAAAAAAAAAGGAGCAACTGGCAATCCCCGGTCGAGTGTCGTAAGTTATCTGGGATTTCATTGCGTCTGCTTCAGAGAGGGTGGGGGTCCGTTTAGAAAACGGACCCCACCCTTAGCCAATCAGATACAAAGCTAAAACCAATCACCACGTCGTCACTGGACTTTTCCCGCGCTTTAGCCGGTTTGATTGTTTTTCCCTTGAGTACTCATTTCTCATTCGAGATGACGTACTAACTTACTAAAGTTTTCGTTTTAAGATACTCAATTGAAATTGTTCGAAATAAAAATAACGATACAACTAAATAAAGCCGCTAAACAAACGACTGTGCAGTTTGTTACCTCAGTCCATTGAAAGCATCTCTCTGACTTTCTAATTCTTGCTCAAAGGAATCCTACAAAACAATGGTTTAAAGTGTTATGGACATCACTGTGAGTTTACTCCAGACCTTAAAATAAATAAAAACCAAACGTTTACATTAACTCGAAGAGCAGTGTATCACAGTTTGAACTACATACTCTTTCCTCCTTGGTCTTCTGTGTTAGTTCTCTTGAAGCTTTAAGATCGCCGTCCAGATTTAAAACTTGAGTTTCTAAGGCATTCTTAGCCTGACAAGAGCAAGTGTAAAAGACTAGAATTATTAAAACAGGTTCGGGAAAAAGGCAATCTTTGACAAATGCAAGAAAAAGTTTCAAGTGATTTTCACATTTTCCACGCAAGAAATGTAAACTGACTTGTTTTTTCATACTTACGGCTATTTGAGAATTCTATGGGAACATCCATTACCTGACGAGCGAATTCTGTCTTAAATTACACGCGAAAACCGATATCGCACGAAACGCAAGGCGATGACCGCGATATCGGTTTTCAAGTGCAATTCAACGCAGAATTCACGAGTCATGTTATAGATTTTCCTTGAATCTCATAATTGAATAAAAATAAGAAATAAAAGAAAACAGCAAAAGCATTGTTTACTTTAACTATGCTGTTATCCTAAGCGCGAAACAAGAGATGATTACAATATCACTTAGCCTCGTTTTCAACTCGCAATTCCACGCTTAATACCTCGCTTCTTTAACCAATCAGAATGCAAGATTTTATTCAATTATACGATTCGTATCAATAAGGTAGCATCATGGTCTGAATGGGGTTCGTAATGGTTATGTCGTTTGATAATTTAGTTAGTTTATGGAGCTAAATATCTAAGGTGAGTGTCGTAAAACCCAAACAAATCCAATCGAGAGGAAGATCAGTATCACAACGAACCAATAAGAAATCGGAGTAGACGTAGTCTGCGTTTAGCGCGGGAAAACGCAAATTGCAAAGCTAGCCGAAGCGCGGGAAACGTGGATGGCAAAGCTAGCTGAAGCGCGGGAAAACACGGGTGACCAAGTCGCGATTTGTTTTCAGTTTGTATCCGATTGGTTGAAAGGATGATGTGAGATTTCTAGACCAATCACAGAGCCAAGAGAGGTATTGGGATTGGTTTAGACACTCGATTAAAACTTGCACTAAAAGCACTGGTTAGAACTCACTTCATTGAGTTGTTCCACAGTCTGTCTCAAATCACTCTCAGTTTCTTCTGCCTGCCTTTTGAATTGTCCAAGTTCCTCGTCTCCTGCTGCAACCTGGTTCTGAAGTTCCTGGTAAAGACAAATACGCGACCCGTCAAGTTTTAAACTTACAAGAAACTCTCTATAAAGCTATGCAAGGTAAACTGCATTAATCGTTTTCAATAAAAAAAAAAAAGGCGAATGTCTCAGTGAGATTTCAGTTTCTAACACGATTGAAGAAGACACATTATGGCAAAACAAATTCCTTATGAATTTGACAAATAACCGACCTGGAAGCTGGTTCATACACTATGTTATTTCTAAACAAAACCTTTACTTTTAGTTCTAGACCAATTTTTATTGGATGGGCAATTCATGATTTAAGAACTATATGAACTAAGTGAGCCTAGTGTTGACATGACAACTATTGCTCAACGTCTAAATCCACGCCTAACCAACAAAAGATAACCTTGACCAGTGGCGGATCTAGGGTATCCAGGGGAGGG